TATATTCATATAGGCATGTATAAACATTTATACATATATATAATTTTTATACATAAGTTATACAAAATGTATATATATTCATATATGCATGTATGTATACACTGTGTACACCAGTGCGGGACAAACACTAGGAAGGAGCGAGATATATAACTATGCTTTTTGATCTTATCATATTTTTTTTTTCTTTGTAGCACTTGTAGAACACAAGGCTTTCCCATTTTCTCCTGCCCAGACAGAAACAAGGTGAACTTCACTCCGAGCGGCTCGGCCTTCTGTCCAGTGAAGCTGCTGTGTTCGTCTCTTTTCCCGTCAGATGATGCTGCTCGCCCCAGTTCACTGGATACTCAAACTTCAGGACAGACGTCTGGTCCATTTACAGAGGCCTCAGCACAAAACAGCTTCCCGCTGCGGCCCGTGTCCTCAGAATGCTGCAGTATTAGGAAGTGCCTGCTGCTCAGTTAGCCAATCACAGCTCAGATCTCAAACAGCTGACTTTTCTAGGAAATGTATTACTTGCTAATGGTTGTCCAAAAGGACCATCATGTTGAACTTTGTCTTGGGGTTTCATGTAATTCTGCTGGAATGCACAAATCTTTACTAACCAGGTAAAACGCATTAGATATGACAGATAATCAACAGGCCAACATCCAAAAATCTGCTTCATGCCTTAACACATAACTCTGTGGCTGGACGATATAGCTAACTAACTATATTTCAATATTTTAGTCTTTTGATGATTTTTTTTTTCCTGTAGAAGAAATCAAATTTCACCCAGTCATTATGTTGCCAGCAAAAGGATTGCAAATATATTGCACATATTCTGTATGCTGCTCAGCCCTAACATCCATACGTTTATTGAACAGTATGGCTTTGTGTTTTTAGCCTCTTTGATTCATGTGACACTGTTATGGTGTATAAATATGACTGCTGGATGCTCACATTAAAGTGACATTTTTCAAGATATAATATTTGCATTAATTTCTCTGTTTTTTACTACAACTATGTGCTTCCTATTTTTTAAACTGCATATAATTGGTTGGGTCAGGGATTTTTAATGTTCGTATTAAACAGCAATGAACATTCTAAATAAAATCAAAAAAATTAATATATGAAAACTAATAGTCATGGAAATGTTAAATCTTACTATAGAAATGGGGAACATAATTTTCTTTCTTCTGGGAATAATTAAATATATTTCTCTTTCGAAAATGTTTTTAAAGGAAAGTTTCTAGTTAGCAGCACGTAATTTGTAGTATGTATATTATAAAAGGTATAGTCCCACTACTGGATAAAATGAAGCTGCTTTTATTCATTTCATGCCATTCAGGGTTACAGCCATATTACAAATGGAAGAAACACACGAGTATAACACAAAATTGTATGGCATTATTTGGTGTAGTGGGATATGATTTATTATGATGCATATTTTACTTTGTCTCGTAAAGCACTGATAAGAACTGACTTCAGTAAGGTCTTTTGGTCCCATTGCGTATTGTGGAATCACATTTACAAATCTTTATTACATTTTATTGCACTTGCATGTAAAAATATGTATGGTGAAAGATAATTTGACCAGGCACACAGACACTAAGAAATACAGTTAACCAACAGATACATAAATGTTTTACCAAAGTTTGATTGGTATGCATGACAAAAATAATAGAGTATAATAGCCAGGTTCTGCAAGTAAAAATCCCATTAATTGTCTCTCATAATGTTTCCCCTTTCAACAAACCTACAATGAAAACCTGTTGTTTTATTATTATATATGCTTTTCCAGAAAAATTACTTCCAGAACCAAGCCTGTAAAAAGTGAGCACAGTTGCTTTATATAACAAACACATCTTAACATCTTCAATTTATGTACACCTTGTCTTATTAATAGCTGCTTTCACATCAGGTGAAGTTTCCATCAGCTAATATAATATATAATATTCATGAAAATAAATTAATTGAAGGACTGTAATAAAGTCCTCTCATATTTAAGGCTTCTGAAATGCAGCATTAGTTTTAGTTGACGGCACTAAATTAAGACAAAATACCTACTTAAATAACATTTGCATTTCAACTTTCTATTTCTTAACTGATCAAGACGACATTTAAAAGAAATGACAATAAAAAAAATCTGAAATCATGCAATATCACAACATGCAAACCCAAACTACTTACTGTTGCTGATAATGATAATGTGTCAGTAGTATATACATTTATGGAATACAAGAAAATCCACATTGTTATGGCAATTCAAACTGCCTTGACAATACTAGCAAATGGAAAAGAATCAAGGCCAGAGTGATTATTATTAGTTTCCTTTGGCAGCAAGTGTGTATTCATGAAATAATTCAGATTAACTGCTATGGCATAGAGAAACCAGTGTTGATATCTGTCCAGTGCAGGCGTCTGTAGGCCTCTTGTGCCACAAGAGCGATAAAGTGCAGCTGTAACAGGACAGATTACGCGTTCAGTAGCTCGTGTTCCTCATCGGTTCGGCCGATCGCATCCGGGTTTGACAGCGGATCCAGATCGGCAAGCAGATTGAACCAAGCAGAGAGATCTTTTGAAGTATCTGTAATACAAAAAAAGGATTACAATGATACGTTATTTGTTTGTTTGTAAAGATGCATTGTAATATATACAAAAATGCAACAAAGTTTGGGGTGTAAATATTTGGTCTGAAATGTGGTCAATCAATTTTATTTATAATTTTAGTTTATTATTTAATCGCTCTCTGTTTACACTCTCAAAACTGGATATGACTGACATATTATAAATAGCTCTTGTCATATTTACCTTTCACTGCAGATTTGGAAGAGATTTGACTTGCTACAGATGAGTTTTCAGGACTATTCTGTGGAATAGCTGTTGTCCGACCTGTAATACAGATCATATTCAAAAGCATTTACAGTAGATGTACACATCCATTCAAAAGTCTGAGGTCAGAAAATAATACTTTTTTTTTATTCAGCAAGGACACATTAAATTATGGAAGCCCATTTCCACCACAGAACAAAAAATTCTGAATTGTGAGAGAAAAAAAATCTAAGTCAGAATTACAAAACGTAAACTCAGAATTCTGACAGAAGATACAGATTTCAGTCTGTTCGTGTCTACGTGGACAGTTCATGTTCAGAATAAGCTGCCGAGTGAAGCAGACTTTCTGTTAGATCATGTTTCTGCAGACCTGAGATTGTGGACTGTAGGTCGTTCATGTTCTGGTCGAGTAGAGTCGAAGGCAGAAAGAAAGCGGGCTCGTCCTCGGGGGGCTGTGTCTCTGCTCTGCTACTGCCGGTCGGATCATCTTCTCCAAACACCTCACGCCATTCCTGTGAGAAACCCCTGTCCTCCAGAGAACTGCTGCCCAGGATCTCATTCAACAAACTCAAGCCATCCTTCTCCTGACCGCCAGAGAAAGTGTCATCATTTCCTGTATATACAGTGCAAAGTCACTGCTCAACAATGTTGAATTCAATTATTGTGTCCTATGGATAAAATTCAGTTTTTATGAAAGCTTTACCTGTTTGCATGAGGCTACTGCTCAGAGTTTCTTCTTCAATTGAAATAAGCCTGGAAGAGAAGACATAAGTGATTAGAGGTTAATATGTGACCCTGGAGCACAAAAGCAGTCTTAAGTCGCTGGGGTATATTTGTAGCAATAGCCACAAATACATTGTATGGGTCAAAATTATTGATTTTTCTTTTATGCCAAAAATCATTAGGATATTAAGTAAAGAGCATATTCTATGAAGATATTTTGTCAATTTACTACTGTAAATATATTAACACTTAATTTTTGATTAGTAATATGCATTGCTAAGGACTTCATTTGGACAACTTTAAAGGCGATTTTCTCAATATTTAGATGCACCCTCAGGTTCCAGATTTTCAAATAGTTGT